TGCTTCCAATGTGTGACCTAGGCTTTACTGGGTGCATCTTGCATGAGACACTATGTTGCCATAGCTCATTGCTATGGTGACATAGCATTGGTGGGCTTGTTTGTTACTGCACAGTAGTGTCAGAAATGACCCATGTGGCGTGGGAACCGCACAGTAATGTTGGTTACTTGCTTAAGCTAGTACTAAATGACTGCCCAGTAACAACTGCATAGTCCAGCGCACATGTAGACGTACCCACTGACTGTATAAGATTCAAACTGCTCTAAATAGAGCACAATATCCTTTCTTTTGGGCTTTCCTGGGGAGTGGTACCAAAGTGGCATTCCTCCCCTTTACAGATGGGGAACTGAAGCACAGAGAAATTAGGGTCAGCAGTGTCCACTAATTTTGGATGCCCAATTTGGAGCCACCTAGAATGTGATATTTCAGAGGACAAAGCAGTACACAGCATTGAAAGCACAGCATCACCGATTTCATGTACCACTGTGCAGGAGTAGTGGATTGTCTGGTGGTTCAGCAGAGAAGCTGCAGTCAGGATTTCAGGAAGAGATGACCTTGACTACATTCTAAACCAATGAGGACTCCTCTGTTCCCAGCATCCTTACCGATTGCCCTTAGCCCTAACTAGTCATGGAGTTACACCTCAGGTTGCACCCTTCTTTTTTCTTGCCCATGCTCTGCCCTTTATCCTCCTAATTTCTACCAAGTGCAATTTATTGCCCCCTTTTTTCCTTGCTGCTTGATCCTTATTTGCTGCCTTCCCTTTCTTGCTGAATGCAGAGGGGCTTAGAGACAAAGATTTCTCTTTCTTGAATGTGGAGTCATGGCTCTTTGGCCATATGATGAACTATTCCCCTAGGATTCTCCACTTCCATTTGTATTTTTTGTAATGTTTTCCTTCTATTAATTGTATTCCTTATTATGCCTCAACTTGTGGAGATTAGATGATTAAAAACACTGATCATGTGATGTGATGTCATGGCCATATAAGTACAGGTTTAATCTCTCCTCTCTTTGGCAGTATGGAATGCAATTGGATCACAATCACCTTGTGCTAAGCAACCAACTGGCCATTGTTTCCTAATATCAGATGCTATGCCCCATGATTGGCCATGTCTGCCTCATTTGAATAAAAGCCAAATCCTTCCTCCCAGTAGGGATGGAGTATTGTTGTAGCCCTGATGGTCTGGGCAATACGCAAGGATCAAGGTGATTTTAGGGATATCTTTTCTTAGACCAATCGTATAGGTAGGAAAGAATTCCCCATTTTGATTTCTACTTTTTCTGTCACATTTTTCTCCCAGACAGTTTTTTTGCTTAGTTAGAGAATTTTCTGGGCACCAGGTGCCCTTCTTCTGTGCCCTTGTCTAACATTGCTCTCAAATTTTACACATGGTCCAATAAAAGCCACCTCCAAAAGTCCTCCCCTTGCTTCTCACTTACACTGCCTTTGTCAGGCACAGAGACACAGAGTCCCTAGCCCCATGCTCGACTTCCTCAAACACCTCCTTCCTCTTGTCCCACCCTTCTCCTTCCTGACCCTGAGTCTCTGCCACCCACCTGAGCCCTCCCTAGAAGGAACATAAGGAGAATCCCAGTCCTTTGTTGCCTCCCCCCAGATCACCTTCAGGCACAGCCCAGCTGCTCTGCAGAAAAAGGTGTAGAAATAGAGAAGTGGCAGGAGAAGGAAAGGGAGAACTAGAGGAAGGAGGAAAGGCCCCCGTGGAAGTCAAAAGATTGGTGGGGGGGAGCTCTTGTTGGGTCTGGCTTGATCCCCCATGGCTGAGACTTGGAGCAGCCCCCTTGTTTTCAGTGCAGCAGCAATGAAGTCAGAGTGGCAGACAGCTGAAGAGACAGGGCTGCAGGGGAATATGGGGATCAAAGCTCCCCGCCCATCAGAAGGCTACAAAAGGGTATTTTGTCCTGAGCCCAGACATTGCTGGGGGCCTGAACTGGTTGAGATTTGGCAGAGCTCACAAATGGCTTTTACACCTAAGTTACTACTATGTTGCTGCATGCTAGGCCCTGTGACCCGCGCCTGAATTACAGACTGTGACTGAGAAGGGCCACAACCCTGGACTCATTAACCACAAGAAAGAGTTGGGGACCAGCCAGAGAGAGGGGCCCAACTGCACCACTTGGCCCAAACCCGAGAGTTTCTGGTGGTGGCACCTGTGGGGCAGAAGGGATGGACAGATGAGAGGTAGCCCTGGGACCAGAAATAGGAATCAGATTCTCCCTCACCTGTATCAGCTTCAGCCAGAGAGACCTGCCACCACGAAGGTCTGTTCAGGTCTGAGCCCCTGGCCTGGGGTTCTGGAATTTGCCTGGCAGGCTGGCATCAGCCCTTTATGAGGTCACTATCTCTCTGGCCCAATGCTTGATATCCTATTGATGCATCTCTCTGAGCTCACTGCCCCACCCAGCCAGGCTCATCCCCTACCCATAGCAGTCCCTTCACTGTATAGTCTAGCACAGGGGTAGGCAACATTTTTTGGCCACAGTGCCAAAAAAACCACAATGTCTATCTTGGAAGGTGCTGGAGTGCCAGCATGCCATAAAACCAAAATGAGGGCAGGGGAGGGGGGTACATAGCAGGATGCACTGCATATTAGTATATTCAAAAATCATAAATGTTGCCTTTGTTGTTGTGTATTCCTTTTTTGTTAAGCATGTTACAATGAGAGAGACAGAGACAGAGAAGAGAGAAATAAGAGAAAGAGGAGAGAAAGAGAAAGAGGGAAAGAGAAAGAAAAAAGAGAAAAAAAAAGAAAGACAAAGGAGAGCAGAGAGAGAACCAGATACACTCATACACACAGAACCACATGTGTAGAAACACAGAGAACCAGAACATGCCCAAAACAGACATGTGTGCACACAGACACAAAGGCAGACAGACGCACAGAACCAAATGCGCAGGTGCATGGAGCCCGGTTCCTGGGCCACCGGACAAAGTCTGACCCAACAATGCCCTCGGCCCGCTAGTGCCCCGGAGCTTCCCTAAGGAGCCAGCCACCAGGCTGCACAGCAGCCAGCTGAAGCCCTGGCCCCGAGCCTGCCCATCAGCCCAACCACTCACCCACCCCACGCAGCTAAGACCACAAAGGTGTGGCGCTCCTGGCAAGGGGCAGCACCAGCCTCATCCTGGTGAGGGGGCTGGACCAGGAGCATGTGGGAGTCAGGCATGCTCAGCTGCAAGCCCTGCTGCAAGCAGGCCGGACTCTGTGGTTGGCAACTGCTCCCCAGAGCCAGGGCTGGCTGCAGCCAGGAGGCTGCAAACAGTTGCTCTGGCATCAGCTCCATACCAGTGGGTGCACATGCGCCTCGGAGCGGACAGTGGGGAGGGGCCTGAGGCAGCGCAACCCCAGCCTCTCCCCCGCTGCCAGCACAGAGCTGGTGACTGGGTTCCAGAGCCCAGCACACCTGTTTGTAGCCAGCCCAGGCTCTAGGCCGCTGCAGCAAGCAGCAGACAGCCTGCAAACAGCTGCACTGGGCTCCACAGCCCCAGCATCAGCTCCATGCTGGCAGCGACTGCACATGCACCTCAGAATGGACACCGGGGATAAACTGTCCCCAGCATGTAAGAGGGGAGGAAGAGTAGTTCTAGTCCCCAGCATGTAAGAAGAAGATGGAAGAGTTACACGAAGTACAGAGAAGGGCAATCCAAGAGACAGAAGGAGAGAAGAGACACTAAGGCCTCAAATGTACAGTCTTCATACATTTGAAGGGCAGAGAGAGACCACAGTATCACCATTTAACACATTAGAAGGTTGCTATTATGTACCCGCTTCAATCTTTTAATTTCTAGGCTAAACAAACATGGTTTGTTCAAGATTTCATTGTACATCACATATTCTATCCTTCTTATCATTCTTGGATCAAATTCATGAAATTATGAACAATTGGGCTTAGAGAAGTAGTTAGTTAGCTGTGTTAGTTTGAAGTTAGGCAGAAGACAAGGTGGAGATGCACCTTACAGACTCAGATGTTTAAGCCACAGCAGCTTGTAAAGTAAGCTCTTGCTCATAAAAGCTCATGCATTCTACCCTGATTTCTGATGGGGCTTTGTAATACTACAATGGATGTGCCTGTATCCTTTGATTTTGTCCCCGAATGAATGCATACCAGTTTAATTAAATTAGTTAGTTTAAAGTAGCACAAGCTCTTTTGTGGTGTATCTTATTTCAGTTTAGTTTATATATTATTCTAATTGACATAAGCTACAACAAAATAAACATCATTACATTGAAATAAGACTGTTTCAAAGCCTTTTAGAAAAGGTTTAATTAATTTGGTTTAGAAAAAGAGAGCATGTCTTAAGTAAATCCATGTAATTCTGCATAGGAGATAAACACTTATTTAAGGCTGGATGAACCCTGTAACGTAATATCAACTAACATGTATGGCTAAAGTCCCTCCCCCACCTGTCAGGTGCTCAAGGTACTACACAGTTCAATATGAACCAACTATTGCAATTAACATTTTAAGACAGCCTCAGCAAAGTGGCATATATAAAAAGACCTAATTATAATTAATCCAATTTAATATGTGACCCCTTTGCAGGGTTTCTGATCTATTCTAGACACTGTTTTTTGCAGACCTCTTGATCAAGCATCCCCATATTGGTACCATGAACCACATATGGAAATAATTGCCTTTGGTCCTGATGATGCCCACTCACTTCCAAGACATTATAAGTACGCACACCGATTTTAGTGTGCTTTTAAAAAATTAACTCTTATACAGAAATCTCCTTTCATCTTTACCTGAGGAACCCCAGAGTGCTGTCCCATGGTCAGTCACATAACCCACTAGTTAAATCATCTCTTCAGCCCCAATGCAAATTGCTAAGTTAATGAGGAGAGGTTAAGTGAGGAGATGGGAGGAGAGAATAGGAAGGTGATAATTGTCAGTAAGCAAACTGCTGCAGGGAGTACAGTGTTAAAGCTCAGGGGGACATACATAGCACTTTTTCTTTGGTTGAAGAGCAAGGAGCTGATTTCAGTTTCCTTTCAGTGTTTCACCAACACACCCTGGACAGAAAAACTCTTCATTGTGTTGACTGTAGTGTGACAGCTTCTGCAGAGTGAGTTCAAGTGCAAGGAAAGGAGTGAAATATAACCTGATCTAAAGAAAGATGAAGTTTGTAAGGTAAGCAAATGCTACTTTGTATACACAGAGCAGGCAGAGTCTTGAAAATACCAGTGCTCCTGCATTATAGTATGATGACATCCTTTAATTCAGACAGTTTCCTTTTATATATCTCTATAACTAAGAGTATTTCTGTAACACTCATCAATATAGTATCAAGATACTAACTTTCCTTCCTCAAATCTGCTTGTCTTCTGTGCCGACTTATAATTATAACTTCAGAGGTTTAGTGCTTTTTTCATGCTTTTCATTTACTTTAATGAGATCAATGTTCTCATTTGGATTTTTCTTCTGTTATAGGTTTTTCTTAAGTATAGCACTGTCATTACAAGTAATCCACTTTGGAAATGGTAAGGAAAAAAGCTCGCTCTATTTGGCTTACGTTGTTTGTTGGGTTTTTTAATGAAGTTATATAGTAGTTTTCTATGAATTTTTAAATATTTTATTCCAGAAAGTGGGCACAAAAATCAAGTACTCTTTTGTTCCCCCACCCTGCAAACCCTTATATATGTATACACCTAAATAGGGCTACTTGTCTTTGTGACTGGATGTTCAGGTCTTCTGTAACTTTGCATACTGAATTCTGTTGTCATTTGAACTGTAAAGCACACCTGAGGACAGACAGGGCCCAGGGTTGATATATCAAGATATCTTTGTACAGTTTCCATGGGGGGCATTTTTGGTTTGTATATACAGTACCTAGTCAAGAGGGATCTAATCCCTGATTTGGTCTCCTGTTAGTGTCATTTACATTATGATATAACTTGGATTTCAGCAAGACATTTCAGAACGTTTTTGGAAGCTGATTTTTCCTGTTCTATCTCCTACTGAACCCAGGCAGTGGGAGTTAAATTGAGCCCTCAAGTAATTAAACAAAAAGCTAAAGAAACAAATTTAAAATACTGACTAGTACATTAATACTTCCATAATACTACACAAAAATAATCTTTGACACCAAGTACTTGATTTGGACACTTACTTCCTGCTAGTTATTGGTGCTGAATCTTCAGTTAGCCATCACTGAAAGTTTAACTCTTATCATTTTTATAGGTTGCAAGGAGAACTGTAATAACAACCCAGATCAGAAAAATCAAAGCACTTCCTTAAACACCTTTACTGCTATAAATAATATCAATTCTGAGAGGAGGAGGAGAAACCCATCTGAGGTTTTACCTTTCACTGGGCTCACACACTGTAAGTTATTCATAAAACAATGAGTAAACTGGTTTTCATGTTCAGACCAAAAAAGGAACCCTTCCAGACATCTAGTATTACATGACTTGATTTCCTTATGGCAGAGGATCAAGGCCTACCTTTTTGTGTCTATCTGCTGCATGCATAAAACATTGCATTTACATTCACAGTTGTGTTTTATGAAAAACCTTCATGATTGTACTGGCACATTTATTGTTTACAAGCCAAAACCTATTTAGCCATTTGAAATTGGGTCTAAATTTTGCAGCAATGTGGGGTTTCTTCAATACATCCCATGGAATGATTATACAGTATTCACAGAGCTCTGATTATGTGTGACATCATCCAATGCGCACTTGGTACTATTCCTTGGTGTGTGCAAGTACATTTTTTTAAACACACAGAAGGAATATATGTCCATGTTTTGCCTGTAATCCTTCCTGCATAGGCACTATTGGGGGGAAAAAAATCACACCATAAATCTGAAGCAACAGGATAACAAAAGAGCAGCCTAATTTTGCTAGTAAAAATACACACTTTCTGGATAATGTCTCCAAATGGCGTGTTATGATCTGGTTTTTAATTTGGGTTTGGAATGAGAAAATTGCTTGGCATAGATCAACTTTCTAGTTAACCCCAAGTGAGAGTAAATATAAACAGAGTTGCCAAATCTTATGATTGAAGTGCCACTTTTACAATATTTGGTATGTTTTCAAAGACCCAGCCCCTAAAGAATTATGAGTGGGTGAGAATTCAATAAATAAAAGGTGTAACTGTGATGGTTGTAAAGAAAAGCCTTAAAACAGAAATAAAATGCAGTTTCCAAGCTCAGAAACCAGATGGCAAATTAAAAGAACTATCACGTCTTACTGGTAAGAATCAGTTTTTAAGTGCTTGGAGTTTCCAGTACTGTATGAATTGGTCATCCATTTGTGATTTGTCAAAATATGAAATGACATTTAGTCATACAGAATGCCATCAAAATAGCCTATGGAGTACTTGAAAAATGCAGGCCCTACAGAAAGTCAGAAATGCTACTATTTCATTCCAGTGCCAATGTTTTAAATGGGGAAATGAGTCAAAAGTGGTTAACCTACACCTTCCCATTGTTGCTGGTTGAAATAGGGTTGACTGTTGGTTCTACCTGTCTCACTGAGGTAGAAATACACAATCAGGATTTTATTGCTGATTGAACACTACATAATGTCTGATCAAAAATATTTTTCTCATGTTTACAATTTCTATATTTACATCCTGGGATGAAAGAAAGGGGGAAGAGTCAATGTGCACTTTATACAAGATTCAGGTTCCACTAGTTATTTGTTCACAATAGCAAAAGTAGCCTTAATTAACAAACTGTATTCTTTAGTAATATTTATATTTGTCCTCCATTTGCATTACTTAGTCACACAGTATATAGGAAGTCAGGCATGGTAATTAATTTTTTTTAAGTTACAGAATAACAGGATGACTCATAATAGAACTTATAATCGGACACGCTAAAAGTAAGGATAATCAATTTTTGTGCTTCTGGGCACAAATTGAGAGATTCTTTTCTGAAAACAGCACTGTAAGATGGGCAGGGTATATTATGAAAAAGGAAACTATCTTTCCAGATGCCCTAGCTCTTATTATTATTAGCTAGTAAATGCCACACTAGCCTGACATGGCAAGAAAAACCTCATTTCCAGATCAGTGCACTGAAAGATGGTTACTCATGCCTCATTTTTTCTTTGTTTGTACAGAGCCTAGCACAATGAAGTCCTGGTCCATGACTAGGGCTCCTGACAGCTACAAAAGTATACTAATAAAAAAAAAAAAAGGAATGCTATGACCCCTACAGCTCATTACCAGAAACAACTTACATTACAGGAATAGCAATCAGTTATTAAAATCACGTAATACTGTAAATAGAACACCAGCATGAAACTAGATATGCCTATTAGCATCGGCCTCAGAGAACTGTATACCACTTCTGTCACAAAAGTCTGACAATAAATGCTTCTCATTAGTTTGGGAACCATTGCTACTATCACTGAACTTCCTTATGAATTCTGTTCCCCCCAGAAATTTTTACTTTCTTTGGATTTTTAAATGATATATCAACAGCAATACCTCTCTAAGTAGTGTAATCACCCAAATGTAAGAATTCCCTTCACCATTAAAATATTAAGGGGATTGTGCTGAAAGCAGACAGAGCATGTTCTTTTATGTTTCCAATCTTCCCCTATACTAATTAAATATAAACTACAAAGACCTCTAATTTAGAGATCAGGTGTGGTGTGTATTAGTAGATAGAGTGCCTAAAGATGCTGTTGCCTGCATAGTTCTTGCTCTGGAGATATATGAGACTTTATTCTCCATTGGTTTATGCATTAGTAGAAAGAGGTAACATCTGTAAAAGACTGTTACCTGCTACTGTTTCACTTTGAAATCCATTCCAGGTAGCATGATCTGTTCTATTATTCTGCACAAATTCCAGTGACAAATCTCTGTCATCCTGCTGTAATTTGGCACTGGATATGCTCTGTCAAGAAGGCAGTCTTTTAGTTCTTGATTGTTAATAAGTAGCATCTCACCAACAAATCTGATCAAGGAAATGCCTTGAAACACTTCATTTATTTTAAAGTGAATTTAGTATTGGTAAAAGGCACCGGATTAAATATTCCTGGAGATTGAAATCCTGTATTTAGCCACAGGCTAATAATGAAGTCTGAAGGAACCAAATCTGTAGACAGAAGGTAATTAAACCTTAATTGAAGAAGAATTTAACTTAATTAAGTCCTGGCCCTCTGAAACTGCTAGCAATTGAGGATAACTATAATGGATTCTTTCCATTACTAACGGATACCTAGTAAGCAGGTATCCACAACAAGAACTAAAACCTAAAGCCCTCAGATGCTGGCTAATTATCAGCTAGACCTAGTTGTGTATGGCAATAAGATGGGGTGTCTGTCTGTTCAGCAATCCTGTTTCTTGGCTAATTTTTATTCCTTCCTTTCTACTTTCTCTACTTCTGATTTCAGCGAGCAAATTGAACAAAAACTGCTGTCAGAATGGTGGGACCTGTTTTTTGGGAAGTTTCTGCATATGCCCCAAATACTTTGCTGGCAGATATTGTGAACATGATAAACAAAACAGGTAAGCAACACTGGACTGACTCCCTACAAAGAGGAAGCTTAATTTTCAATCCTGGGGAACTGGGTTTATGGAATTGTTTTTTCCTCACATTATGCAGGAGTTGTGGTGCCATTGGCCATGGAGAGTGGACTCAGGAAGGATGTTTTTTATGCCAGTGTCTCTATGGGATTCTGAACTGTTTCCCTCAAAGTGTAGAAGAGAGGTGTGGTAAGAAAAGTTACCAAACTCTATGTACTTTATAACAGATAATATGCATCTTTAGTAGCATACTTTTTGCTGGTTCTTACTGTCTGCATTTCAGAAGTATTTCCTAGATCAGTGAGTTGGTTTCAAGTGGGTGCATACTTTGCAAGTGTTAGGGTTATTCCCAGTAGGTCAAAAAGGTCCTTGTTCCTTCTCAAGACAAGAGTTCTGGCTCAAAGAAAAAGAATCTACTTATTTTTGACAAAGATTTATAAAATAAATGAGGAATCCGCATATCCAGTGTAAGGGAAAACTATACACTCTGTATAACCACTCAGGAGTGGGGTTTTAATGAAGTGAGGCAGTCAAACCTAGACACGTCAGGAATTGGGAGAAATGAATTAACCAGGGAACTGCTTATAGACATGTGAGCAGAGAAGCAAAGATCAAACCATAAACATGGAGCAAGTTGCACCACGGCAGCCAAGTACAAACCAGCAGTGTTTAAAAAAAAAAATTTAAAAAAAAAATCAACAGCTTGACTTGCCAAGAATTACCCTGTTCATATGTACATGGCATTAGTTTCTTACCTCTAGTCTGACTTCAAGTCCCAAGCCAGGTAAAGTAATGAATTGTCAGTGGCCTACCTGAGGCCACTGACAATTCAGAGGTGAGCATTAGACAGACTGTGCTGTCTCTAATCTAGCCTTTTTGACCAAATGTTTCTACCAGTTCAGCACCATTGAAGCTCCAGCAGTCATGGGATTTCTAGTGTACACTGCCTGCTGGCAGCTTAGCAATTGAGTCATTTAACCCTGCTTAAAGCAGATCTTTTTGATTCTGCAGTTAAGACATTAACAGCTGGAACCTGGTTTACATTAGAGCTCTCGGCTTTGCTATCATCAGTGGAATCCTATCTATGTTATCAGTGATTGGAAGTTTTTAGCAAAATATGTGGAGGACCCCCATTAACACTCTAGGAGACTCCTCAAGATTATAGTTGAGGGCAGTATAAGTAAACTTATATTATTAGGCCCATAAAAGATTTTTGGATGTTAATATCTTTTGGAGAGCATTCAGTTCACGTTAAAATTTTCTTCAGAGATGTGGATAAATTTTGGATTTGGGAGACTTTCCCTAGTGGGACTCTAAATCCTTGGGGAGGGTAAATAGAAGGAGGTTATATCTAAGAAGTTTTCAATCCACCTATATTTAGCAATGGGTACATTTAATTTAGCAGGTCTACTAGAATTTAGGGGGAAGAGATTTCCCTCCCCCTCCCCAGTGTGTGTGTAATTTATACAACTATTAAATAATATATATTACACTACATATTATATCGCAACTGTTTACATAGTGTGACATAGCTATGCACACACACTGAGCCATTTGGACTCTATTTATATATGTAGCATGCAAACATGGGGTGGGGGGAACCGTTCCCTTCAGATTCTCCGCAATTTAAGCAGAAAGTTGCTAAATTAGAATTTATCTATGTTGTGTGTGACAAAAAGGAAAAAGGCTTCTCTTCATTAAATGTTTACCAAGTGAAGCCCTTAATGTTGAAATAAAGGTAAATACAAGGGGACAACATTCTGATTAACAAAATCCAATTAACCTGGAAAGACCATTAAGTAAATTAAGAAATTTGGTTATCTCTTTCGAATAGGTTTTTTTTTCTCCCTTGAGTTCCCTGGAGGACTTTATTTGCAAAGGAAAAAAACCTGAAAGCTTTTAGTGCTCTGACATTTTTGTTTCACATTAAAACAAATTTCTGAGTCTCTATGGGGAACATTACCTCCAGCTACTTACTCCATATGCACTTGCAAAGAAAATATGGCAGTACTTAAAAGCAACATTCTGGCAAATATCTGGGATTTACATATGAATACTCAGAGATTTTTCTCTCCTGAGCACCATAAAATCTCATCAGTCATTTCTTAAATGTTCTGGGAGTGCTGCTGTTTGCAGCTCTTTCAGAACTGTGAACAGTGCCTTTAAAGTGTTTCCATAGCTGGTTGTTCAGCTGAAGTAGCTTCTTGGAAGCCTGAAAGGAAGTATTTTAGAGCAATAAAGGACTTGAAACAACCCATGCAAATCATACCTGTTTCTGTTTAATTTAAAACAATTTAAATTGAGGTTCTTTTGTATATTCAGGTCCTACAAAGAAAAAGCTGCCTGATTGGATTCAACCTGGAATCAGTTCTGAAGGACTAAAGCTTCAAATGACAAAGTACATCCTTACAGCTTCATTACTATTCTCACTGCTCTGTCAGCTCCTCTAAGTATAACAAAGATAAGAAAAGTTACCTCCTTATTGTTAAAGTAACTTGAAGTTTCTATGATTTTACCTTTAACTGTATGGGCCAGAAGCGATTTGATTTTCTCTATGTAATACTAGGCCTAATCACTTAATCATTAGGTGTATAGCTGGCAGGGAGAGATGTCATTCTATACCACTATGCGTTAGCAAGTGGCTAAATGAGTGTCTCCTCATCACCCCACTGAAATAGCCCTATTAATTGTTTTCAAATATTGGCATCTATGATGATTAATATTGAAAGAGCAATTCTTCCAGTGGAAGAAAGGCGCATTTTTTTTCATCTACTTTGGCTAAAAAGCCATAATTGTATTTGTAAATATGATTCAGCTTTATATTTGTAATGTTAATGTCTAATTTATTGTTTTAAAGTGTTTGGCTATGTTGATCACTGAAAAGACAGAATCTGAATAACTGAGTGTACAATAAAGAAAGACTTTCTATACAGTGTCTTTAAGGTTGAAGGAACTTTGTTACTTTCACTTTTCGATCAGTGTTCCTACATGGAAATAAACTTATTTTAAGAACTTTAATCAAAAAATTTAATGTATGTTTTTTGCCAAAGGGCAGGGGTATACTTTAAAGGGTCTCTGTTGATTTAACAGAATTAGTTTAGACAAAAATGAGTTTCCAAAATGTGGATTATGTGCAAAACAGCTTCCTCTAAGTACACAATAAAGAACAGTTAGCCAAGATTATGAATGTTTATATGCTCTGTGGGTCTATTTTTGTTTTTTTCTCTGCTTCTCCACATTAAATTCTTGTCAATTAATCTAAATGCCATTTGAAGATCTACCCTCCCCCTTTTTCTGTTGTAACACCTTTCCTTCTCCCATATCTCCCATTCATTTTCTTCCTCAGTTTCCCCTTTTGGGAGCCACTTAATGGTTATGCTTTACTTACTATATAATAGCTGAAAGATATTACAAAACATCCTGCTTCTTGCAAGTAACCCAAGACAGAAACTACATTTCAAATTTCTTATTACTGCTGAACACTTTTTTTTTTTTATCTAACATTAATTTTACTCAAAGACAGATGGGTATATTGAACAGACAAATAGATGATGTATAGAAATACTTCATGGGGTGTTTACAATCAGTTTTTCTTTCTTTCCTTTTTTCAGTCCTGACTTTCTTTCTTTATCTTTCTGGTTATTAGTTTGATTCTACCAGCGATAATAGCAATGACCACTGCCAGCATTTTAACGTTGGTATCTTTTCTACACTGGCATTCCCATTGGCAATATATATAATTTTCTTAATTTACTCTATATAGCTATAACTATATATAATTCTTTAAGGGTGGAAAAAAATCTAGCATAAGGCCAATGTCATAAAAACCAATAAGATAAACACAGATGGATTGCTGAGCTGACATAGATTTGTCTAAACTTCCCACTGATCTATAAATGTACATTTATGTCTTGCTTAAACTCTTAAACTGTAATAAGGTAGGTTGCGAGTTTGGAGAAGAACAGCTATTCTAAAATAACTTTATCTGTAGGCAAACCCTTTATTCTTAAATTATGCAATTCCTTGTACTCTGGCAAGTGCATAATTGCTGTATGATTATTTCTGTATAATTATAAAATGTTCAAATGCATATCTTTCTACTAATGGCCTCAGCCAACCAGGGTAGAGGGATCTGCATAATCATTGTATTGTTAATCAGTATACATTTTTTTTAAACCCATACAATGATTATGGAAATTCCTATGATTAAAGCTAATGTCCTAAGAACCCTGGTTATATATGGCCTTAAGAAAAATGTCCATTAGCTTCTGACTCTTCTCTCTGCATAAAACAGTAATCTATACAATTAAATTACATTCCTTTGACTCTAATTTGGAAATAGTGAGGAGGGAGCACTAAGCCTGACTAAGGAGGATTCAGAGGGGAAGATACTACAAAAGCTGACTTTAGAAGAGCGGACAGGATATGGTGCCTTGCAATTTGAATGGTGCACACTGAGCCTTTGTACAAGCAGTAGTATTCCCACATTGTGGAGTTGGCATTTCCTGATCTTTCTGAGCTTTGGCAGATAATTTCCTAAGTAAATTGCTTACTTTACACTTAAAAAGATTTCCTTTGAAACTATCGAAGTGAGAGAGGGACACAACATTCAGTCAAACACTTCCACATTTAATAAAATTTGATGTTCCTGAGAGTGAGAAGAGTAGCTACATTTGTCACTGTGCCTACCAGAATAGAACTCTCTTTGTTGAGGCCTGTAGCACTACCACAGTGCAATTGTTAATGCATTATAATTCATTTGTTAATTAAAGGCTATTATAAAATACTTGATCCTTTTGCATACCTTATAGCCCCTCTGGCTTTCAAAACACTCAACAGCAGATTATATGTTGCGCTTTATACCATTGATCTAGAATTTACCATCCATTTTAGGACTGTACTTTCTAATCAGGTGTAAATATCTTCAACAAACCATATTTCTCTAATATTTTTTTCTTTTTTCCTTCTAAGAGGAGCTCTCCATACGCAAAAATGGAATCAAAGGATGTTATCAAGTCCTCCTGCTTAGCTCAAATTGGGAACATTTCGGCCCCTGGCAGATATTACAGTTAGGGCATGATTAACCAGTTAATCTGGTCTTAAAGTGTAAACCTGGCATACATTCAAGGGATTAATGGTGCAATAAAATATGACACCAGCCAAAAAGTTATTATACAAAATGAGTGATAACATAGGGTATATACAGAAGTGCTCCATGCATGGTTTGCACTCCACGGCCTCCTAGGGCTGCAGGAGACTGTGGACAGCAGCAGACCAGTGGAGAAGGTGAAGCTGGGATGAAAGGCTGTGACAGCCTTTCATCCTACCCCTGCCTCCCCTCCCCTCAGTGGGCTGGGAGCGAGCA